TATATATATAAAACAATTTAAATAAGATGATATGCAATTTAATAAATCAGTAAAAGCATGAAATTAGGAATAAAAAAAGATTTGCATGCAATCGTGACACCGAATTTTTTTCTTGTAATCAAACTTTTACCATAAAGTATCGCAATCTTAATTAAATCGTTCATTCATTTGGCAAAGATAGATAAAACGGATTTAAAGAGAAAAGATTATATGATGTATCTAATAAATCAGCACATTTTAAACACCAAATAAAGTTTATCGTTTGCAAATGGCTTTGGCTTTGGCGAACTTCTACGTTCTAATGTAGGATAGAAACTTTAACGCATAAAAGCGATCGATTTGTGTATATATATATATACAATATTATATATTATATATGTGTATGTGTGTATACCTGTGGTTGTTTGCTTAAATCGCTTTGATAGAATTTGATAGACCCCCGATTAGATAAACGAGACGTATGCTCCATTAAACCGTTTCATTTTATTGCTTATCAAAATTTGAAGTGTTGATTAATTTAATTGTATATGAATCATTCTTTTTTCTTTTCTCTAATATTTTTTGTTAATACAAAATAATAATTATTATTATTATCTTTTGTTTTTAACTAGCAATCAATTGCACACGTGACTTTCGATAATTTTGTAATATCAATGAATTTAATCAATCACATATACCAATCGAAATGATTTAATTGAATTCACTTACTCATTTATTTGTTTATTTATTTATTTATTTATTTTTGTTGTTTATTTTGATGTCTATCTGTTTTCAGGTGACGTAATAGACATCCTAACTCTAATAAACTCAGCGATAAATTTCATCCTTTATTGCACGATGAGCCGTCAATTTCGTACGACCTTTAAGCAACTTTTCTGTACAAAGTGGAAAAATCTTGGTAGATGGATGCCCATACAACATCTTCAAATGGATAACAATGGTAATACGGGAACTACCAATCATACGGTGACACAGGTCACACAAGTCTAGCGTCGAAGAATAAACCGTCAAACTTATTGCTATCCGTTATAATAATCTACGTATATGTATATATGTTTTTTTAATTTTATTTATTTTATTTTATTGTATAAAATTAAATTAAAAATAAAATAAAGGAAAATCAATCCCATATTTCAAAAAATGTCTTCAACGGATAACAAAATGTTTGTCGACTAAACGAATTGATGAAAAATTACAAACACACATACACGTATCACATTATTATTTAACACATTGAACGCCTCGCGAATTCTTACAGAAATCTTTGTCAGACCACGTGTGGTAAAACGAAAAGTTAAACGTCAAGCACAGGTGCTTGACATGGCCTGAACGGGAAGTTCAGTGTCAGTCACTTATGACTGACATGGCACTCAACGTGTTAATATGACCGTGAACACACACACACACACACACACAACTATCATTTTTATGAAATAAAAATGAAAAGAAAAAATTTATTTTTAATTTTTATTGGTTTATTATGTATATAAATTAAATATTTAATTATTATATTTATTATTATTATTATTATTATTATTATTATTATTATTATTATTATTATTATTATTGTCTGGAAAAAAAAACAGTAAGTGAGCTAGATTATATTTGTCTTAAATCTTAACATTATATTAATTTAAATAATAATTTATTTAATAAATATACACGTACACGCACACATTTACATTTAGACGTACATACGTGTTATGTGTGATTCTTCGTAAAATAACGTGAATAAATTTTATTTAAAGAGATTGTTTATTATTGTATTATAATGTACAAATACGGCCTTCTTATATGAAAGAAATAAACCAAATAAAAATGTATAGGGTGTTTCATAATTTCAGGTGATATCGCAAACAAGAAATACGCCTTTGAATCTTTTGTTTATTTTTTTGAAATAAATAATGAATCATATTACATATTATGAAACACCCTATATAGAAATAAATATACATAAACAAATTTATATCGTGCATGATTTATGTGTAAGTAATTTTTATGGTTTATTTTTTTTCTTTTTTGGAAATACTTTTTAATTTCTTACAACTAATGTTTAATCATGGATTATCATTGACAAATAATGCTAAGACCATTTGAAAAATTTTCCTGACTTTTTAGTATGTTTTCTATCTTTTTATTTTATTTTTTTTTTTTTAAACATTAATTTCATTCTCTGAAAACGAGACGCACAAAAAAGTCGTAAAAGAAAAAACGATACGTAAAATTTTTCGAATGGTCTTCGTGAAAAAAAAAAACAAAAATAATTGGTAAGTGTTAAATTTGTTTTCGAAAATAATTAAAAATTAAACAAATAAAAAAATACATAATAATAATTTGAAATATATTTGCGTATATATTATAATAATATATATATAAGCTGAAGAAAATAATTCACAACGCAAATATAGATAATTATGTAACTAAAATAAATTAATAATATTAATAATAATAATAATAAACAACAAAAATATTATCTAACTTTTAAGAAATATCTTCAACGTTGATACAGCTGTCTTCATTTTATTTTTTCTTATCTTAACGTTTGTTCATAATATGTAAATATAAATTTACAATTTCAGGAATGCTATTTAATATTATTAATATGTAAGTAATAAAATATGTAATAATATTAATCGAAATAGTTTTAACAATTATATTATAGAAAATTTGATTATATTTAATATAAATCAAATGATATATATGTATATATATATATATATACATATATTTATTTATTTTATTTATTTATTTATTTCTATTGCAAATACACATACACACACATACACACTGGTTAAATTGAATAAATATTGAAATGAAACTATCGATTCATATTGTTGTACGTAGTTCAATTAACGTAATAGAATAAAAGTTGATCGTTAAAATCACGAGACGAAATTGTTAACGACAAATTGAAACGACGATGAAAATAATCGACAAAATATTTATTCATTCGTTTATAAAACTGTATAACAAGATTTTTCTGACCAATTATTTAACTTTTTGTTTGAAATATTGGTTTTTCGAGTAACACCATTGATGATGATTCTTCTTCCTCTCTTCCAATATTTCCACAAATATTGTCAAATAAAATAATAGATTTAAAGTTTTGATTTGTCAAGTTGTACACGTATATCTAAATTGAAAATTGAAATTATTGTTATTTTTGTTATTGGCTTATTATTGCAAGTATAGTTAATATTAATGTAATTATAAATAACTCATGAAAATGTATAATTAATGTTTATTAATATTTTATAATTCATTGGTTGAAACCATTGTTTATTATAAATGTGAATTAATAGATATTTAAACTAACATTTATTTGTAAATATATCAATAATTATTATTAAAGTGGTAAATTTACAAAATGAACGTAAATGAAACATTATCATTTAATACTCCATTAAGGGATATCATTTATGAAGAAATTATTCATCTTTAACTTAATTCGACTTAAAGCTTATTTACCTACCATTTTTTCTTTTTTTAAAAAATAAATAATAACAACAGTCTCAATATACGATCTCACGATTGAACTATTCAGGACAATGTTTCCAGTTGGATTCTTCCACTCGTCGAATACTAAGAAACAACCCAAACAAAACCACCCCTCAATACCACCCTCCTATTCATCTTTATTGAACTTAATATTTATGTGTACAAAATATACGCGGAGGGTTGTATTGAAAAGTTATGTGAATTATTCTTTTCAAAGTTTATTTGTGAACTCTAAAAGTAAAGTTGAAATATCGAAGTTTATTTTTAAATAAAAATAATATCATAATTTATGCAATATCTGTAATTTGAAAGTTCACATTTTGGAATTGCATTTGAAATGATCAAGTTTTTCCAATGTTTAAATTAATAACTGTGATATTATTTTACTTTGGACACTGTAATGTAAAGTTATGTGAATTTATTCTTTTCAAAGTTTATTCGTGTAACTAAAAGTAAAGTCGAAATATCGAAGTTTATTTTTAAATGAAAATAAAATCATAATTTTTATGCAATATCTGTGATTTGAAAGTTCACATTTTGGATTACATTTGAAAGTTATTCCAATGTTTAAACTAATAACTGTGATATTATTTTACTCTGGTCACTATAATGTAAATGAAATATTATTTTGACGATCTACATGTCGTCTTTGTTTATTTTAATTTATGATATTTTAATGATATAGAAAACTGTCTTGTGTTTTATTCGTTATAAATATTTCTGAGTAGTATTGATTTTTCAAAAGCTTTTTCTAATCCTTTAAATCAATAGAAAACAAGCTTTCTCGAGAACGAATAAATCACCATTTAGAGGACCATAAAACGTAGGGGGATGCATGGTTTTGTCTCCGAGTTTTACGATTGTTCAGGTGTTGGCTGAAATAAATCGAACTATTCAACCATAGGAGAAGATAACTTTAGCAAAGAAAAAAATGTTTCATCTTATTGTTAATATTAATAAAGATTTTATAATTTATGTATTATTTTATTACTATTTCTTTTCTTTTTTTTTTAACTTTAGAATAAATGGAATACTTAAAAAAATATTGTAAATTTCTTCAAAACAAAAAAAAAACAAAAACAATGAAATTACAAATTACGAATTGTATAAATATAATATTATAATATTATATTATATATTTTTATTAATTATATTTTATATTATACACACATTTATATTATTTATACAATATTATATTATAATATTGTATAAATATAGTATTCTATTTTAGATTAAATATTTTTCAACTAACTCTCTTATAATATACGAAATTCTGTTTTTTTATATACAATATTTTGAGTTAAAAAATCAAAGAAAGAAGAATTGACATCCCTTAATTTTCTACACTTTGTTTTCAAGCTCATAATATTATATTAATTACATAACAAAAATTATTATTACAATATTAACCAATTACCGTACATTAATTACATGCAACACAGTTCATCCAATAGCAAACACGATGAAAATGTATTATATAAACAAAGTTTTGCAACTTACGAGAAATATATTAAATTTTTAATGAGTTGCGAAATTCTAACTTCTATTCTTCAATCATAATGAGGAAAGTATAATAATAATAATTCATTCTTAAATGTGGTATTTTGAAATTAAACGTATTACATTTTCTTAAGTTCACGAAAATAATGAAAAATAATATACAGTGAATTGTAAAGGTAATTAACGATTCGTATCAAATTTTAAACAAATATTTTTGGTCGGATGAGGAAGAAGATTGAACAATGCTGACGTAATGGATGGTACCCTTGTTATCATAATAAAACTAAGAGGGGTTGGTTTTTATATGATAAAATCAGTCAAAAAGAAGGAATAATATTTTTGCTCGTTTTTATTAGAAATATATATAATAATTTTTAATACTGTTTTTCTCTCTCACTATATATATATATATATATATATATATATATATATATATATATATATATATATACTTATATGTCACTCTTAATGTTTAATCAGTCATTTTTAACTTTTTTTTCAATATAACAATAATAAAAATATTAATACTAAAGTTTATAATATTATGATATAATCATATTTTAAACTTTTCAAATAATATACGTATTAACACGTATTAAACAATCTTTTAAATAATAACATTGAAAAAATTTCTAGGCTATATTTTTAAATCAAATTTTCAGTTAACCATTTGTATTGGGGCAAAGAATTCATCACAGCTTAGCGTTTGCTATGCAGGTCGTTTTTGTTTCTAATGCCATTTCCATGACGACGTGCATAACACATCTTGTAGACGATTATTCTATGACAAAAGTGTGTGTGTTCTACGACAATAACGTGCGTGACACGTTTTTCCAATACAAATTGGTTATTTATCGTCAAGCATAATTATCATAAACATTTTGGTTTTTTTTTTTCAATTTTATTCTTATCTTTTTATACTTATATAAAAAAATAATAATGTACTCTAGACCAGGGGTCGGCAGCAACCTTTTGAGACGAAAGAACAAAAAATTACAATTTACAAAATTTCAAAGATTTAAAGAGCAACCAAATTTTTTCTTGTCAACAAAAGAAATAGTACTCGCATAACTCGCATAAATAAATCATCTTTTTGATAAAAAGAAAAAAAAACTCATCTATTTATTCATCGGTTCCTCGTTAATCAATTCAGAACGATTTAAAAAAAAAATGTTTTTTTTTTTTACTAAACTCTTTTTAACTAAAGAGCCGCAGCTTCACATCCAAAGAGCTGCATGTGGCTCGCGAGCCACAGGTTGCCGACCCCTGCTCTAGATTGTTATTATATTTTATTATAGAAAACAACTCTAGATTAACATATAAAAGTACAAAAATATTAATTTCGACATCTTTGAATAAAACTATACTCTTTAGTTTATTCTGGAATTCCTCTACCACGACCTGTTTTACAATAAAAAATAAAATCATATCAATAGTGCATTGGAGTTGCACATATATATATAAAATTATATATGGTACAATATATATATATATATATACAAACCTCTTAAAAATCCACATTTAGTAAAAGTAGTTCTAGAAAGTATCGATGCTCTCCCTCCTAAAATATAATTTTGTACACATAATTATTTGCACATTTTAAGATAAATAATAATTAGAATTATTGTCGATCGTAAAACTTTATTCAAAGTTTCCACTTGAAGCTACGAAAACAAAAGAAATGTAAAAAAAAAAACAAGAGCTTACTTGCAATTCTGATGTTCAAGTTATCAAAATCTTCAATTGGAATTTCGTCAGAAATATTTTTAGTATTAGTTTTAGCAACAGCAATGCCTAGAAAATGAATAAAATTGATAATATGATGAACGCAACAAAATAATCTAAAAATGAACAAATAAATGAACAAATCTTACTCGGTGTATTTGGTAATCTCAATGGCCTTTCAAATTTCTGTAAAACACGTAAATAATAATAAATATATTAAACAACGACAACAAAATTGATGTATTTTATAATTATAATATTTACAATAGGAGAAGGAGTAACTTGTGATTCCTTATTTTTATAGTTGTCTATACTTTGTATTTGGTTTTCATTTTCACGACATTTTGATGATTCTTCTTTTACTTCTGTCTTTACAATAACTTCTTCCCTACAATTCTTTAATATCAAAATTATTCAAATATATTGTTAACAAACATGATATATATATATAATAAAAAACTTAATCATTTAATATATGCTCTTACTTTTGAAGGTTTTATCTTATCATCAAGTTTTGCAGGATTCTCAAACGTGTATAAAAAGTCCTTCAACAGACTAGCAGCACAATTAAAACCAGGTCTATATTCAATTTCAAGGCCATCGCAAGTATAATCACAAATGATATACGACCATTGTCTTATTAATGACAAACTACAAAACTGAGTTCCTCCGTCTATATTCTCATGATACTTCAAAAGATATCAAAGTATAAATTTATTTAATGGCGGTACTATTAAAATAATCTCTTTATCTATAAAATTCTATGTTATATATATATTTCAAATATGTACGCATACTCACACTGCATTCTATATCTTTTTCAAATGCATATTTCTCAGTCCCAAATTCTCTTTCTCCAATAAATTCTGAAATGGCTTGTATGCCTTTCTTATTCAACGCAGCATTACGCAACGCAGTGAATAATAATTCAATCGAATATATAGTAAATGTATTTATACGATCTACAATAATAAACAATTAATTAAAAATGAGAGATATCATTTAAAGCATTATATAGTGAAATCAAATTACCTGCTGCATTAGCTAATTGATCGAGAAACGATGGTACTCCTTTATATATTTGTTTCGTAACAAAAAATGGTGGATATTTATCATCATTTATTTTAGCAGGTTTTAAAAAATCTATGAATTCAAAGTATAAACGACGAAAATCTGTTTCACCGCCAGAAAATTCAGGAAGAATTTTATGACCATTTCTACTAGTTTCAGTGGCTTGCCAAGCGTAACCCATCTTAGGTTTTATATTAAGAATTTTATGATGATATCTGATGATACCGTCTTGCAATGTAAATTCTCCAATGGCATATTCAACAGGAACATAATCATGCTCAGCGGTAATGTAAAGCCAATTAAAGTGTAAAAAGTAAAATTTAACTTTTTTTAAATCTGCAAAAAGATATATAATAGTTACAAGACCATCCTGTACACACACAAATAGTATTTTATAATTTATATATATTAAATAACATACTTTCGTTCATTAAACCAATATTAATGATATTAGATATATGATCGCGCATTTTTCTATTAAATTCTGCTAACTCTTTCTCTTTTTGTTCAAGTAATTCTATCGGTTCACCACGACAATTTAATTTAGGCCTAATATAATTATTAGATAATTTATTTGTTGTCGCTAAATCATTATAACGTTGTTTCTCAGCAATAGATAACCTCTGCAATTACAAAATATTAATGTATTAATTACATAATAATATCAAAATTATAACGTTTAAATTTAATCATTCTCGATATAAACATAATGTACAAAAAAAAAGAACCTCAAGAAAAAAAAAATTATAAATAAAGAAAAAGTAATACTTTGAAATAATTTTCTTTATTTTACCTGCCATGCTTCACTACACTCAGGAAAACTTTGAACTTCACTCAAATTTGTAAAAATCAGTCCGCATTTTCTTGCTTCTTTTCTCCAGTCAAGCATAAAATAAAAAAAACCATTACGCTTTTTCTTTTTGTTCGGCATTTTGATTGTTACAATTCAAAAAAAGCAAACAAAGAAATAAAACTGCGTACTCTTCGATATGTACCTTTGGGAATTTCCTTCCCTGAGGTTACTAGGCGCGTTAGGGTGCGTTTGCACTGACGCAAGGAATGGGCCAATGAACTCCGTGTGGAGGAAAGAAATTTCCGTTTGTTTCTTTGATCCCGTAGGACGATATTTTATTTGTCGGCGTGGTGGGCCACGTGGTCACGTACAGAAAATAAGTTTGTACACAAGAGAGACACAAGAGCGCGATGAGAAGAGATGCGACCGGACGATGCGACGGACGAAGTAGAAGTGAAGTGGTTCTTCCTGCGTGTGTACCGCCACGGCGATCCAGGCATCCGGAAGTGGGGAGAGCAACGGTCGCAGTGGTCACTCTTCCGCTCTGGCCAGCCAAAAGGGCGTGGTCAGGCCAATCGGATGCCCCTGCGGAACCGCGATNTCAATTAAAGTAACAAAAATATATAAATTTATTAACAAGATACAACTAAACTCTTGGACGCCATATATAGGACTAACTTACATTTCGACCGTTACGTTCAACTTGGGTTTAGTTAGTCTAGTACCCGCATAGGGAGGAAGGGCGCCAGTGTGCCGCGTCGATACACTAGGCACGTATCGCCACATGCGAGACGCCACATACCTTTCAAATAATATTAAATATCAAAAGTAGTACCAATTTTGCACACCAGAATGGCGCTTTTGCTAATTCTTAATTAAAGACCCTATAGGAGGGACGCGCCATGTACATTGCTGGGGGACAGGAACTCGTGTAGTCACGTGATTGCGCGCGAATGATTCAACTAACCACAGCCGTTAATATATACTAAAGATAAACATGGCTGCGCGATGCAACGGAAGCTGTCCCCCCACATTTTCAGCCTAGCAATGTACATGGCGCGTCCCTCCTACAGGGTCCCTATTCCTAATGCGGCAATCACACTAATGAAGGTTTGTAATCCTCCAATGAAAATCCTTGAAATTACCTAAGGAAAATATATTTAAGATTATTATAATAATATCGATCTAAATGATGATCGCGAATTAAAATTTATGTAAAAATATACCAATCATAAAAATAATAACCAACTTTAAATATTAATTATACTACATGCTATTTTTTTTTTTAAAGTGAAATTAATTTATATTTAATTTGATATTGAGTCACATGATAATTTTCCTCATTAATTGGTTCTAATTAAGATTTATAATAACTAAAAATTTAATTTTCAAATCATTTTACAATCATAAAAGTATCTTAAACACATTATAAAATATATGCATAAACAATGAATATCTTATTTTCTAAACTACATATGAATTTTGGATAATTTATAGAATTTATTAATACAAAATACATATAGATTGATTATAATGTTAAATTACCAAATTACGTAATTTCAACCTCTCCTCCTACTTTACTAATAGTTTCTTTAAGTTTATCTGCTTCGTCTTTGGAAATGTCTGCCATCACAACCACCGGTAGGCTTTCAATAAACTTCTTAGCCTAAAAAAATAAAGATCGGTTAATAATGTCTAGAAAAATGAAAAATATTACAAATATAAATATATATATATATATATATATATATATATATGTATGAAAAATATACCTGTACGAGATTTGTATTGGGTAGTATATTTTTAATTTCTTTAATGAGAGGAACTTTTTGTTTCTCGTCGAATTTTAACAATTTAACGGTGAATGTATTTTTTACTTGTTTCGGGGCTTCTGCTTCCTCCTGTAAACAAAATTTTTTTTATTATAATTAATATAATAAAAGAGATTTTTGAACTTTATATTAATCAATAATATTTAACAATCAATGTATTTACATCTTTCGGTGCAAGTGCAAAACCTCCAACAGGCATCACAGGAGCATCAGGTAAATTTAGTCGTTTTTTTAATAAATTGCTTAGCTCCATCACTTCAACAAGATTGAGACTTATTATATCTTTAGCTATCTGATCCAATTTTGCACTAACCGGTTTATCCATACCTTCTGGTACTGGAATAGTTAAATTTTCTGTTGGTCTATTTGATACAGCTTGTGCTGCATCTGATTGACAAACAACGACACTGCAAAATAATTTTATAATTAATTTTAATAATAATAATTAACATAATAAAAAGAAATGTAAAGTTAACTATTACAAAGATTAAAATAAAATATAATGAATGATAAGTTAATAGAAAATAATTATACCATTTGTGAAACTGACGAAATTGATGAATGCTATTTCTAGCAATCATACGCAAAGAGAATATCATTATAAATATTATCGATATTCCTTAATTTGTTATAACTATAAATTCTTCTGATTGCTTCTCTAACCTCGTGAAATGGAGGTTAGTTGCAACCTATAGCAGTGATACCAATATACGATCTACATGAAAGCTAACAAAAATCTCTAGAAGAGATTATCTAATGCACTTTTAAAAAATAGTCAAATCATTAGTGTTAGATCAATAGAAATATTTTAAAAAATGTATACATAATATATTACAAATATATTTTAATTAAAAATTATAGAAATAAATTCTAATTTTTTTTTTTTTACAATTTTATTACTATAATGATATTTTTTTAAATATATTTGTATATCAAAGAATAATGATAAAACTATGAAAAATTATGAAATTTTATGCAACGATATTATATAGTCCAATATATGTAATGCTATATTATAATTAATTAAATTAATATGTTTTATATTACGTCAGAGAAATAAGGAAATGAAAATGCCGGTAAATCCGGAAGTTATTCATTGCAAAAAAAAATCATTTTAAATTACTAATACGCCATTGTACGTCATAGAACTTTTCTAACATCGATTCTACTCGTGTAGAAATAACTTTCTCTTTTCACGTCTTGTATTTCATCGGAATTATCTCTTTTAAGTAATTATAAATGAAATTTTAATCAATATGTCAGATTCAAACAAATAAAATATTAATATGCAAGGTTCTGATTTCGAATTTTTAAAATACGAACGAATTCAAATGAGAGAGAATTAAATTTTATGAAATGTATTTCGTCATACGAATAATTATCCTCTTCATTAGTCATTATTATAATATTAAAAATCGATTAACTCTTTAAGATATTTATTGAGGAAATGTTTTTAAATTTTTTTAAATTATTTAAATCTTCAAACAAGTTGTTATATATTTTTGAATAAATTTTGTTTCAACATTTTGAATATTTCATTACTGCATAAGATTATTTAAAAAGAAAAATAATATTTCAGTTTGTGTTATATATATATATATATATAAAATTTTTTAAAATAAATAAAATTAGCTCAATATGTAAATATATTATTAAATAAAATAATAAAAAGAGACGCGTAGACAATATGGCGTCCGCAGTTTTGAAAAATTGTAAATCTTACGATGACTGCATTTTTTTATATATGAATAAATGAAAAAAAAAATTTATATATATATATATATCAACTTGTTTATCTAATTTAAATACATATAAGATCGATGTTTTTATTGTTTGATTTATTTAAAAATTATAAGAAGCGATTTCTCTTGACGTAATCCAAATGCGATAAAGTATGTCAATGTCCTAATACATTCTGAATATAAATAACTTCATCGAAGTTTTCAAACACGTTTTTATAAGGTAAACATACAATTAATCTATATACTTACATGTGTTAAATTAAAATGTAAATTATTGAATTTACTTTGAATAAACTTCAAAGATATCGACGCGATTAAAACGTTCGGCTCTTCCTCTGTTTCTTTTTCTTACGCAAACTTTTCTGTTTACTTATTTTATTTGTAAATAAAATTATATTTTTTTTCTTCAATAATTTCTCAATGTTATAAAATCAATCAATCAATGTTATAGAAAAAAAAAAGATTAGCATTTGTACGTTTAATAAAAATTGTAACAATTGTAGGCATTGTATCTAAATGATGGATGATAAAATGTTGTTAAATTTTTGTAAACGAATTTGTTATGATTTGAATCATTTTCTGTTTGCTTTTTCTTAATATTGTCCGTTACATCATACTTATATTGGATTGCATCCCTCTTAAGAGAGAAAGAGAAAGAGAAGGTCATTAACGCCGTGATTACCCCTCCCTAATGGACGATCAGGTATATAAAAGCTGACTGAACATGCTGGACATCATTTGATTTTCAACTTCTACTGACGAACAAGTAAGCATAAACGAAGAAGTATTCTATTGATCATTTTCTATCTTAGAGTGTTATAGTAAAGAAAAATTAAGCATTTCGTTATTCTCCTATACTAGGATTGATTTGTCTCTTTCAATATTATTCTCATCGAAGAAGAAAATACGCGGTGAAGAAAATGGCGAAATACTGCATCCTTTTGGCATTGTTGGTGACAGTGGCTTATGGTTTAGATTACTATCCTAACAAGTATGATAATTTTGATGTGGATAGAGTTATTCGAAACAATCGCATCCTTAACAGTTACATTCGATGTCTACTCGACGAAGGTTATTGCACCCCGGAGGCTCGTGAAATAAAAGGTAAGTATTAATTAGAAATATATTATACGTGAATAATTATTTAACATGTTTTTTTCCAAACAAAGTTCACTGTAGTTATTGATATTATTGTTGAAAATGTAACTAATGTTATTTAATTATTTTTCTTTTTCTTTTACACAGATATGCTAGCTGACGTTCTTCAAACGACTTGCAGTAAATGCACCCCGAAACAAAGAATGAATGTAAAAAAGATTGTGAATCACATTACGACAAGGAAACCGAAAGAATGGGCTAGGTTATCCGCTAAATATGATCCAGAAGGTCAATACCAGAAACATATTGATAAATGGATGAACATGAATTAAAGCGGCAAGAAGATTTAGTAAATAGCGGTGATGTATAACTCATAAGAAATAATAGTGTAATCCTCTAGAGATAATATAATATATAACGTTAATTATATATAAATATGAAAGACTGAAGTCAACGATTGTTAAATGTACCTTTTATATACATATACACGCGGATGTTTTGAACATTTTTAAGCTGTAACAATAGAAACTTTTATATTTAAAATAAAGAAAAAATAAAAGTTGCCTTGATTAACAAAAAAAAAAATAAAATAAATTGTTTCTATATTAAAATAAAAACATTTCCATCTCATCTACAAATATGCGTTACTTCAAATATTTAAAAAAAATCTTTGTGTATAACTATCAATCAACACGCGTGTATTGAATTAAAGTTTTTATTTTTTTAAATAAAAAATCAAGAAAATTAATACGGAATCGATTAATACGAAATAATAGACGTAATTATAGTCATTTTTTGAAAGTGTCACACGAGCAAACGAATAAAAACGGAAATAAATTCGTTTCTTTTTTTAAACTGTATGATACGTAATTGACTTATTTTCTCTTTTGTCGTACATATGAATACTTTATATATTAAACTTAGTTATTATATTTGTTATGAAATACAAAATTATTTTTTTTTGTAAATCCAGGAAAAATAGTTAAAAATGTTATTTGTGAAAAGAAGATTAGACTTCTTTTTATTCCACGCGTCTCTTTTTAACTAAAGATCCCAACTGTAAAATAAAACAAAATGTTTCAATAATTCGATTGATAAATCCTTTACTTTCAATTATTCTTCTATTATTACATTTCTTAACTTACTAGATCAGAAATTGCTGGTAAGTTATTAGTCTGGTCTGTAACATTATTCTCTTGTTCACGATTTTCTTTAGGTGGCACAGCTTTCTTCATATTTCGATGTTGAGGGAATGTTGGCATAAGTTTTGGATCGCAGGCTGTCGAATTAATAAATAAATATTAAATTATTATTCTAACTATACTCGATACAAGTACAATAATTGTATTTTAAATTATTATATAAGTATAAATAAATTATACTAACGTAACGGCGCTTCTTTGAAGTAACTACTCTGTAAACATTCCTCTGCGGTGGCTCGTTTCTTTGGATCGTACATGAATAAGAAGTTTAATAATCTTAAACCAGCTGCACTTAACCAAGGGAATCTTTGTTTTAAATTATTATACGGTTGTTGTTTGAGAGTAAAATTTTGTAAAACTGGTAAAGAATTAAACTCTGGCCAAATAGCTTCACTGGGTGTACCCAATAAATCGACTATTAATTCCAGTTGTTGAATTTCTGTACGTCCAGGTAAAAGAGGTCTATGACCCAACAGTTCTCCTAATATAACAGAATATATGAACAATAAATTAACGTATTCAATATACATTAAATAATAAAAAACAGTATTATATTTTTATTTACCTAATATACATCCAGCAGCCCACATATCCACGGAAGTTGTTTGTGTCTTTGCTTGTAATAATAATTCTGGTGCTCTATACCACAAAGTTACTACTCTGGGAGTCATTGGTTTTAAAGGTAATCCAAACCATCTAGCAAGTCCGAAATCAGCTATTTTAACGCATCCCTTATCAGTCATAAGAAGGTTTGAAACTTTCAAGTCTCTATGCACGATGAAGTTATGATGCAAATATCTTAGGCCCTTCAACACTTGCAAGACAATACATTTGACTTGACTTTCGGAAAATGGAGCCTGCATGTTGTCCAATAAACTAGCCAAATCTTGTTCGCAATATTCCATCGCTAAGAATATACTTTCTAAACTTCTTCCAACTACGACTTCTCTCAAATGAACAATATTATCATGACGACAGGATAAAAGTACAGAAATTTCTCTCAGACCGCTTACTGGCAATCCATCCTTTTCATGTTCCATTCTGACTTTTTTAAGAGCAACAACTTTATCATTTTTGGTATCTCTAGCTCGATAAACGATTCCATAAGTACCCTCGCCAATGCGGTTCAATTTTTCAAACTCCGATACAAATCGACTTTTGCCAAGCTGATATAAAGTGAAATGATAAAATTATTATTAATATACTATGTAAAACAAAATGTAAATTTATACAATAACAAAAATAATTACAATATCTTGATCAGGTATTTCCATAGGTTTTCCAGTTAAGAATGAAGTTAATACACCCTTTCTTGTAATGGGTGCGGATGGATCTGGTCCTGCTTCCGATATTGTTTTTTTGTCAGTGTCATTGTTTTCCACAGATTTCTTCTCTATAGCCTCGTCTAAAATGTAATGGTAATTTATTGAAATTATTTCTTTGTTCTTTAAATATATATATATATATATATATATATATCAATGATAATAATATTAAACGAATATTATTCGTATATTATATAGACACTGAATACATCAATGATGCAATAAATAAACATTTTATTATACCTTCAAAGCCTGAAAAAAAGGATGTCTCAAAATTCATAATTCCTTGATATTTATACTTCTCACTCTCTGTAAACGCTTGTTCGGAACTTAACCTCTTGTACCGGTATTTTTAGTACACAACGTTACAGTATTTGGACATACCTTTTGTCATATTTGCTGCTGTATATATGGGTTATTAAGTTTTTTTATTTATATTTTTCCTTTATTCAAGCATTTACACTTCAATTAACTAAATTATTCAATTAAATTGATGGTTTAACTTTTACCGACAAATTCGTACCAATGGAAACCAATTCAACGCGTATCGCAGCGACCCCAGAGACTTTAGTTCGTTTAATCGACACAGAGGCGCAAAATTATCGTACGCGGCAGAAAATTATCGTACGCCCCGGGAAAATTTGAAATCCGAGAAAAATCCAACAATTTCTCGGACAAAATTTTCCAAATGTGGAAAAAGTGTCCAAGTTCCAACTTTTTCAAAGTTGATGACCTTTTTTTTTTTTAGTCATTTCATAGTCATCAAAATTTGTT